AAAAAAAAAAAAAAAAAAAAAGTAAACTGGCTCATTGATTAATAAGTCCACTTAAGTGAAGGAGCAATCTGATCAGAGGACCCCCCGCCCTCCAGGTTATGATTCAAATCTTATGGGGGGCTCTGATCTCTTATAGGGGGGAGGCCTTAGCTCCCTCCCAGCTCCCCCTTAATTCACACCCTGCTTTTAATGCTTGTTGGTTGGAAAAGCCAGCCTTGTTCAGAGCTGGGAGGCCCAAATGGTTTGAAGTATGGAAGAATATATGTAAAGAGAGAATGAAAAATTTAGGATGACCTGCTGTAGACAGGAGGTGAGTAAATAAAGGCTTGTCTACGTGGGGAACTTGAGCCGCATAACTAAGGAAATGACGCTGGGATAGGTGTTGCAGAACAGCAATTTTCATGCACTCAGGCTGGGCAATTTACCTCCCCACTAGACAGGCCTAAGACAGACACAATGAAAGTAATTCAGGAAAATAAGGTAATGTGTAAGTGTACACTTCTCATATTAGATGGTAGGCAGTTATCCCCTAGTGTTTATTGTCACAAGATTTCTTAGAGCGCCAGTACTTAGGTTTAAAAAAATCAGATGTTTATGGATCAAGAGTTTTATATTCATTTTTAGAAGGGATATATAAGCCCTTGTGCTTTAGAGCAGAGGCTGGTTGCTGACCTATGGTGTTTAGTCTTTACTTTTTTGCTGTCTTGCATTTTCATCTGATACTGGCCGCTCTTAAAAGAGAGGATATGGAGCTAGATGGATCACTGATTTGATTAGGTTTGGCAAATGCCATTGTTCCTCTCCCTTCAAAAAGTCCTAAGCATTTTATGAAATAAAAGGACTGTAGAATGGGTTTATTTGGAAATATTTTTGTGCCGCTCCTCATGTGCCTTTATATAAATAACTTTATATCTACCGACCTAATTTTTTTTTAATGAATATGCATTGTAGATCAGGTATCTCTTTTTCCAGAAGGTGGCTAATGATTTACATGGGAAACAAAAGATTTCCTTTGCAAGAGTTGAAGACTGCAAATGCTGCAGAATGCTAAAGTAGGGCAAATCTGCAGCCTGCTCAGGTCTAGTGATTTATTTAGCTTGGTGTTAATTGTAGTGACTGAGACAAGGATTTTCTTTGCTTGTTTTATGTCATGTTGCTGTAGCTGAAGTCCTGTCATTCAAGCTGAGCTGGAGGAAACAGTAAACTAGTCTTTCACAGTCAGGTTCTCACACTTTGGCAGAGTGTTGTAAAGCTTGGGTCTCAAACCATGGAGGAGCATTGTGAAGGACACTTGTTGTCAGTAGATGTGTATATATACTAAAAACCTCATGATATTTCTGTTGGTTTGAGGTTTCACAAATATCTGTTTGGGATCCTAGGAGTTTTACTGTCCTTTCAGAAACAGAGACTGAGATTTCAGCCTGCACAAAATATTTTTGTTTCTTTACTTATTTTCACAAAATCTTGACTTGCTGTAGATCCAGCTTATTAACAGATCATGACTTTATTCTCCAAGCTGAGCAAAGTGGAAGAAGTAAAGAAACTGCTGGGAGAGGAGGGGGTAAATGTGGACTTCAGACTTGAAAGAATAATGTAAGAAAGGAAGCCTACTGTCTTTAAATTATTTTTAGTTCAGTACCTTCCCATTAACATTCTGTAAAGTTGTAAATTATATTTACATACATATTTTCTTAAACTAGGCTTACTGCCAGCAAGGTAAAACTTGTAGGTGTGGAAATCTATGTGAAGAGTACCTCATCACTTGGCAACTGCCTGATGTTGTATAGGTACAAGTGAAGTATCTCATCCTTGCAAAAGCAAGCAAATGGAAAAATAAAGGGATAAACCAGAGCAAAGTAAATGCTGCCTGGGGAAGTAAAAAGCTTTAAAATGGACATTAAACGAACAGTATGGCCTGGAGAAAAGGGGAAATATGAGCCATGATGTTTGTCTGTGAATAAGCAGTAGCTTTGTCCCTAGCTCTTCAAAGTAGAGCATCTTTTTAGTTAAATCCAGCATTTTGCTTGGAGAATAAATGAAACACAGTCAAGTGTGTGTCTTAACAGTGGCATGAATTACTTTTGCAGAGCATTGCGGAAGTATTCCGATGTTTTATTTGTATGGAGAAGTTGCGTGACGCGCGCCTGTGTCCCCACTGTTCCAAGCTATGTTGTTTCAGTTGTATTCGGGTAAGTTACATTTTCATCTTCTAATTTGCATGTATGCAGTAAATATAACGATGGTAACGAATAATCTGTAGGGTACCCAAACGTATGTGCTTTTCCTTCTTCGCTTCAGAGCTTTCAGCGTATTCGCTGTATTCTTTGGGTACTTTTATGCATGTTTTGCATTGCGGTGCCAGGCACTTTAATTAGTGAGCTGGTTCAGTTTGGTTTAGAGTGTGGAAATTTGTCTTGTGATAGTGAAAGAGAAAACAAGATCAGTTAAGACTTTCTGATCTAAGGGTAGTGTTTGCAGGACTGGCAAGTAGAAAAATCATCCTCTGACCTGTGAGCTGTGCAAATAATTATTATAGATGAAGGACTCTAATGACAGATCAGGGAGGTAAATGAGTTGGTGTTGCTCTGTTGCTGAAGGGAGGCTCTAACATAGTAGTGAGGCTGACCTAAAATAAGCAGCTTAATTGCTGAAGTTTGCATTTGCAGGTTATATTGAGTTGATGCAGTTCTTTGGGAAGCATAGATAAGCCAGGTAAGAAGTTTATCTTCCAGAACCCCCCAGTGAGGCCTATTGAATTACCGTTGCTTTTGCTAACTACTGAAAGAAAGCTATCAAACTAGGCCAGGGTCAGAATACATGATACCCCAAAGACTAGCATCAAAGGCAGAGAGAAATACCTGCACTGTCCTCACTGCACCTTTTTGCTAATATATTCTTCTGTATAACTACAAAAATGTGTGCATTCTTTGGTTCCTAACAGAATGGTGGATATCTCAGCACTCCCTTTATTAACGGAAAACTTAGTAAATAAGCAAAGCAAACAAATGCCCCCCCCCCCCCACCCTTTTTGTATGGATTTTGAGATAATTCAGCTGCTGAAAGCTATGTTGAATCAAATTTTAACTTCTTTGTATGTAAATAAGGAAAAGTAGCAGGTTGAAACATTTCAACAGAAGTCATTTGTTTCCTAAGAGAACAAGAGACTAGCATGTGTGACTCTTCTCTCCTTAACCTTTTTATACCCTCTTAAAATGCGCATCTTTCTTTTTTTCTTCAGCGTTGGCTGACCGAACAAAGAGCTCAGTGCCCTCACTGTCGGTAAGGTAGCTTTAATATGTTAGGAATATCCTGGAAATGCATGTAGTTTGTTTAGCAGTGGTTATTATTTTGGAAAGTATATACTATGGAAAATTGTGAGTTTCTGTTTGAAGGTTGCTCTTAATAGGATATACAGATTTATCCAGACATTGGCCTGGTCATTTCTTCCCCCTTCCTCCTCTTAGTTTGGCTAAAATCTTAGTAATTTTTTACCTGTTACATTATCAAGCCAGGAGGACTGGGTAGGGCTCCACTCATAACTATTATTGAGTCTCCTCTCTTTGCTTAGTCCCTCTCCTGGCTGATCAGTTCCTGTAAATTTCAGTCAGTGTGGAAGTTGTCCTCTTCCAATAGATCTATGTGACTGACCTGTCAGAGAATAGACATGGTGTAATGTGTCCAATGAAACAGCAGCTTTGTGGACAAGATTTTTACAATATGCATCCCATAAATACAGGGCTTAAAAAAGCAAGTTCTCAGTGGCAGGTAGGAACCCCCGCTTCCCCAGCTGAGTGAAATTGAAAAGACTAGTTTCATTACTGTATTTAAGATCCTGAAATTGAATTATTTAACCTAACGTTGGCATTTATTTTTATTTGCAGAGCCCCACTTCAGCTACGGGAACTTGTGAACTGTCGTTGGGCAGAGGAGGTTACACAACAACTTGACACACTTCAGCTATGCAATCTTAACAAGCATGAGGAAAATGAGAAAGACAAGTATGTAGAAGTAGACTCTTCATTTTGAAATAAACCAAGAAACCCTCAAAACAGCAGGCATTTAATTCTGCTCTGTTTAAAATTAGGAATTGAATTAGAGTTCCTAAGTACTGGCACACTGGAGTGTGCAATTAAGTAGTAGAAGTCAGTTTTGTTCTTCCACTGTCCCTTGGTGTGCACAGTTCTCTCACGCTACCACTTGACGTCCCTTTGAACTTTATGATTCCAGTCAAAGGGTGACAAGAAGTTAGCAACTGACTTTCTTAGTTCTAGAGGTTGGAGGCAGCTCCTGAAAGTGGTATCAAAAGCAGAGTTTCTCTAGGTTGTAAAAGAAAAAGCTTATAAAATTACACTTGCACCAGTATTCTTTGAGAGAAGGACATGGGAAGAATGAAGACAGGTGTTCCTTTATTGCTCATTTCCATTCATGGTGATTGTGGGTGGCAGATGATGAGCACAACAAGGACCTTGTGCAGATCCTTATGGTTTGGCAGTTTGGAGTTAGCCACCATTCAGGTTTGCTTGAATGGGCTCATGGGCTTGTTTATAAAATGGGATGATAGTGGTCCAGCTTTTCTTTCCTTTCAGATGCTTTAGTGTTGCTATTTTTATTCATTCTAATGTTGTGAAACCTAACATGAGTAAACATTAAAGTGTTTGAATTTTTAAAAAATTCCTAAAATGGAAAATTTTGTAAGTTCTTGGAAGAATAACAGTAGAACAATCTGCTTTTTCCAGAAATCCAATCAGGTACCTCGGTGGAATAGATGCTGTTTGACCACTGGGTTTGAAATTCTGCTCTCACAAAAGGAAGAGTGTGGTGATGGCATTTGCTGCTCTGTGCATTTTACCTTTGAAGCAGAAACTTATGTGAAAGGCATTAATACCCAGGAGCATTTACAGTTTTAAAAAACTGGGGAGGGGCAAAAGCTGACATTTTCTGAACTCCGTTCTCTAGCAAATAAAAGCTGGACCAAGTGAGCCCTTGTTCAGTTTCAGTAGCAATACAGTGTAGTTCCTGGGCACAGTTAAGCCTTTCAAATCTTGTATTTTGTTGAGTGTTTTATGTTTCATTTGGTGCCCATTTCAAGAACGTGTTATGTGATAGTCTTGTCAACTATGGTGAAAACCACAGAACAGCCATTCACCAAAAAGCAAGATAGTAAAAAAGAGCCGATGAAAACTGCAACGCTATTAAAAGCAACGCTTCTTACTTGAGCACCTGGTTCCCATGTGACCTGCCTGATGGTTAGTTGCATGTGAGCAAAGATATGCAAATGATGAACTTAAGAGTATTCAGTTTTATTGTATTCTATGCAGTCTTTTTTTTTTTTTTTAATTTGCTT